GTACTTAGAGAGTCAAAATCATTTGGATTTTGACTCCTTACAAACTCAGACCATTTTGATTCCTCACTATTAAGATTTCTACCTCCACAGATCTTCTTTGAAATTGATTATCTCATAAACATTCTCTTAGTTTTTCTTAAGTAATCATAGAATGTACTTATCGTCATCTAGTGACTTAACCATGTATCCATATGGATTCATATGATATGTTCATAGCATAACCATATACCTAGTCTTGTGCATGATATGACATAAATCATGGATTCATTTTCCAAATAAATAGAATATAATTCATTTCATGTAGCTCAAACATATAAGCTAGTTCCTTTTGATAAAGACTCAAAAATGGTGTCACTGAGCCAATGCCAAGAATCATCCACAGTAATCTTGTATCTTGACCTCTTAAAACTGTCAACATTATTCTTTATCTATCTCTATAGATTTTACATTCCAGGAATGTATCTTGTCATTCCTAAGTCTTTCATCTTAGAAATAATTTTCGAGTCAAGGTGAACCTGTACCATCCTGAATTTTCAACCCAAAATTTTCATTTTTATTTATTTAAAACATTCAATTGCATCATATTATAATTACATTATACGGAAACATGATTGTGAATGCATGTGTGTACATTTGATCCTTACCCTTCTCACGAACTAAAGAAGTGCCTGAAAAACATTTATAACAACTGGGTAAGCACTAGGGTTAGTGAGTTCCCTAAAATACCATATATCACAATACATAGACATGCATATATTGAGTAACTAGGCTCACAATCGCTTAAGTTGCTATTGCCGTTATCCGGCTCACAATTGCTTAAGTTACCATTGTCGTCACCTCACCTTCTAAGTATATAGGCTCACAATTGCTTAAGTTGTTATTGCCACTATTTAGGCTCACAATTGATTAAGTTTTTATTTCCATCAACTTACCCTTGGCCTTTAGCATAGATCTAGTCCTCCTGCATCTTGTCATTCCTCACAGAGCTAGAATGCCTCTGCTCTTAACCGATCACCTACACAATTAACATTACAAGCAACAGCCTAACAAGTTTACCAATATAGGAACATTGAATCTACATTATGGGCTCTACTCTACTGACTCATATATCCTAACATACATGGATATGTAATGGAATATATAATATAGTGAGATGAACTCACCTTGATAATGACTCGGAAGATTTACAACTGTGTTAGTGATTCTCCTTATGGTCCAACTGACGGATAATGTGTTGAATGGGTATTAACCTATAACACTTTATCCTAATAATATCTATGTCAATATAGTAATGAAAACAAGATCTTTCACTAATCCCATTGAATATTGAGAGTTCTATCACATAAGGATCAACGATACCAGATAGTTGTGAGGCAAGTCCATTTCGGCGTATAGCCTTTCTGAAATCCAACAACCAAGCCAACATGACCATTCTAAACACCTCTCCCGTAAGTAGATCAGTTAGTATTACGACTGGAATTACTAATGGATACAACATGTATAGGTTCCTAATGATGGCTATAATTATAATAATAAATTACACAGAAGCAGAGTAAGTGTAGTTCACTTATAAAGTATCCTAGATGAAAACCGGGATCTAAGCTAGCAGAATATTGACTCAATATTTCCTACTCAAAGGCTACTACTCATATAAGTATAGAGGGATGTCGCAGGGCTTTGCTGAAGACTAAAAACAAAGGAAAAAGGGCTAAAACCGAAGAACTATCGAGAAATATATATACATATACATATATATATATATATATATATATATATATATATATATATATAGAGAGAGAGAGAGAGAGAGAGGCTCTAGGGGTAATGGTTGAGGAGTTTATACAATAGTGACTATTTATAGGTGATTTTTTCAAGTACGCATCATGCATTAGGGGTGCACATCATGCATTTGTGCGACGTCGTTGCTCCCGACTTGTGCCAAGTGTCACGATATCAGTTATCCACATATTGTTCTTCTAGAAGGTGCCAAGTTTCAGCTTCCTACGGTGCCATGTGTCACAACCTTATGGAGCCTCATCAATATGTCTCGGAAGAAAGGACCTTCACTGACCATGCCACGTGGTGCTCACTTGTGGTACCACGTCATCGTGCGTGTCGTGCCCTTCATGCAAGATATTTTTCATATTTTCAAAATGGCGTAACTTCTTCATACGAGCTCTAGTTTAAATGTTTTGTATATTGATGGAAAGATCCCGATGAGATATTCAGCATTCCTATAGATCCCAATAGCTAATTCCAATCTATCAAAAAATTATGCTTTTGACAGGCTTAGACTGTTAGAGATCATTGTAGAAACCATAACTCCTTTTTACAAACTTCGTTTCCTACTGTCTTTGTATTGTCGGAATCATATCAATGGGATATTCAATTATATTTTAGATTATTATTCCTAATAATCTATCAATCTATGATTTGATTTGTGTACCCGCACTGCCACACTGAAAGTTCGAAAAATCATAATTTCCTCTCCCGAAGTTAGATTTGGATGTTGTTTATATGCATGCTCTTGGTTTAACGACTACTATAAAAAATTTTTAAAATCTATTAGGCTAAAAAGTGTTTTATCAAAAATTCATTTTTTTACGATACGATGAGTCGTGTCGATTTAATCGCGAAACTTCGAAGAAAGCATAACTTCTTCATATGAAGTCGGATTTACTCATTCTATATATCTACGGAAATTGTATTGATGTTTTCTACACATTATCATGATTACTTTGGATATAAAGTAATATATTTTTACTTCAAATTTTATAAACGACGGGTTATGTTCAATCCTGTTGGAAATGTGGAAATGGGGTGTTACAACTCTTTCCCGGTTACAAAGATTTCGTACGCGAAATCCCGCTCCTAACGCACCTTAGGGTAATTCCTACATACTAACTTACTGGTCGCCTAGTCTTCCAATTCACCTATTTGTATTCCTTTAGTTGTAGAACTTCATTTCTAGCTTATACGTACTTCAAACTCCTCGCCTAGTCTTCCAAAAACCATGAATCCATCGGTCTGGACTTCCAAAATTAGATGCTACGATTGGCGATCACCTTCAGATGTGGAATGTCAAGACAGTCGGCTTTGGAAACTTATCTACTACACCCTAACGAAATCCATTTTTCGGAACATGTCTCTAAAAATCTTATTTTATATTGTTAAAACAAGCAAGATTCAAGATTACAAACGATATTCTAATGTAGTTCAGGTGTTCTAACATCCTAAATTTTAACCAAAACTATTGTCACGAGTTTATTGGGTTGAAAATACTAGCACTAATAATCTAATATTGGCAACGGAATCATAATAAGACTTGCTTATCTTCCAACCAATAATAATGAACACTAGTTTGTCTAATAGCCCTCTCACAAGGCTCTAACTACATTATCTATATCGAGGTATAACTATTATTTGAGTAATTTGTTCACGATACATTGTGACACTTATCCCACTACTAGGATTTTGATGCTAGATCGCTCTTGTCATCATCCCCTGGGCTTGAATACTCACGATCAACCTTTCAGTGGTCCTAAATATTCACCACCATTTCCTGATTGCCCTAATCATCATCCTACCTTGATATTTACTTATCATCATCGATCTTTCTTTTCTAAATTTTGAGACTGCAACTAATTTAGGGGTTCTTAATCTACACTGTTGTTGGATTAGGTGTCAAAGCCCATAACTATAATTGGTATGTACTTGACCCGAGAGTAGCATGGTCCATTTAGGTTGCATATCACCAGGACAATTTGATAGGATGGACTTTTGAGAAGGGGTTTTTATGATTTGTTAATATATTATAAGTTCTTATATATTAACATGAAATCATATTATTTAATTAGTATTGATCAAGAATTCATTGGGAATTATTTTAGTGATCAAAAGAGATTAACTAAATATAAAGGGACTGATTTGGTAAATCAATTATTCTTATGGTATGGGCTTATGGTTATTTAGGATGGGCTAAACCAATATGGTAGTCCATGGATAGTCCATAAAGGTTTTAACCCATGGATCCTAAGTAAGATGAAAAGCCATTCACATTAGGGTTTACATGGATGTAACCCTAATCCTAGCCACACTATATAAGAAGCCCCTTATCATCCAAAATGACACACTAGTGATCCTTGGAGTTCTATAAGCCCATATTAGTTGCAGGAATATTCTCTCAAAAGTTATCCTTTTTGCAAAGGTGTGTTATGATTCTATTTAATGTTCAACACTTGGGGAACTAAGTTCTTAAAGGCCAAATTGAGGTAATTCTATAACTCAATTTTATGTTGATTATGTCATTTTCATGCTAGTTGTAGGCTTAAATCTTTGGAAACAATATTGCATGTATAATTAGAGAAAATATAGATCCAAAGCTTTTAGGGTTGTATGTGCACCATGGGAAGTTGTAGTATACTAAAACCTTATAATGGTATCAGAGCCATGGGTTGTTTTCTTTTATATTTGATGCCATGTGTTAATTTCAAAGTTGAAAATTGTTGTCTGACGGCCCTGCCCGGCGAGTCCAGTCTTTTAATAGACGAGTAGGTTGAAGTTTGCCTTGGACTCGTCGAGTCCAGTATAGGGCTCGACACGTTTCCTATTCAGACAACAATTTTTTTAGTTTTTTGGCATGTTTTGGATTAGAATCATTACCACAAAATGTTTTAGTTCACAAAACCTGATTTTTTTGATATGGTTATGATGATTCTCATCTAAATCTAAGATAATTGTCAAAGTTTCATGATTTGTATTAGTTTATATGATTAGGATAATTTCTTGAAGGGTAAATTACACGGATGGTCCCTGTGGTTTGGGGTAACCTGCGCGCCTAGTCCCTGAGCAAGATTTTTAACTCGGATGATCCTTAATGGTAAAATTCATAACCCACTTGGTCCCTCACTTAACATTCCGTCTAGTTGCTCCGTTAAAACACCCCACGTGCAAGGCACACAGGGGTATTTTTGTCTTTTTAATATTCTAGTGTTACCGCCATGTTGTATACGAAGAGGCGATCATTTTGCTATGTACTCCATCTTTTCATTCAGAAAACCCATAAAAAATTTCAACATTCCGATAAGAAAACCCTAATCGTGATATCTTCTCCTCTTAAACGCAATGGTGTTGTGGCGTATACGTGCAAATATGGAGGAAATCGATGTTGGACGTTGTTACTGTAAGTATTCTTTCACTCTCAATCTTCTATAACTTGGATTTTGTTGAAACCTTATCTGAAGTGGGCTATTTCACAGGGGGGGCATCCGACAATCTTTTCCACTAGGTTATACCATGGTGGAGAGTTCACAAAATTTCCTGGAAGAAAGTACATCAAAGGAAAACAAACGTATATAGACTTACTCGACATGGATACTTTCTCAGTGCATGACATTGATGAAATGATGGAACAGTTAGGCTATGTTGATGAAGGTATACATTTGTACTATCACTTTAAACGACCTTTTTCAGATTTAGATTTCGGGTTATTTGCTTTGGGTAGTGATCAGGATGTGAGACATCTGGGTACCTTCATTTCCAAGCATAAGTTGATTGAAGTCTATATTGAGCATGGAAAAACCCAATTACATACGTACACAATGTCCCCAAATCGAGCAAAAGTTCAAATAAAGGAAATTATTGAACCTCCTCATGTTCTCGTAGGCTTTTCTTAGATTGGTATGATATTGGGGAGACAAATGTTGTTGGGCATGCTTCTAAAGAGGCTAATGTAATGGACCTCACTGGAGATGACAATATGGACATAACTGATAATGGGGATAATAACAAGGAAGGAAATCCATGCGTTGAAGTTGAAATTGGGGACAGATTTGAGCACACAAATGAAGTTGAATTTAGGGATGGTAACAAGGATGGAGAAGATCCATGGGCTGAATTTGAAAGTGGGGACATGTTTGAGGACATAAACAAAGAAGAATTTGGAAGTGGGGACAACTTTGACGATGCTAGTGGTTATAAATCTAGTGAGTCCGATGATATAGACTTTTATGTTGACAATGACAACATCTTAGATGATGTAGAAGTTGACATGAATGATTTCATTGATAACATTGATATGGATGCAGAGTGGGTTGGAGGTATGAATGATAATGTGGTACAAGAAGAGAATGAAGTTGGAGAGCTTAATGAAGTACTAAATAACGAGGTACTTTTGTCAGGCTCATCTTCAGATGAAGGTCCAGTTGGTCAACGAAAGAAGACCATCAAAGCTATCCAACGAGCTCATGAGAATGATGAAGCAAATGTTGCTGAACCATTTTATATCCTTCAAACCTTTAATACAGCCCAAGAGTTTAAAGAAAGAGTTAAAGTCCATGCTATTGAGACAAGAAGGGAACTTGGTTTTGAAAAAAAATGACAAGAATAGGGTAAGAGTTGTGTGTAAGGGGACAATACCAAAACTGGGAAATTTAGACAAAAGTGGGGAAGGTCAACAAGAAGTCAACAATGAAGATGAAGAGAAGTGCCCGTGGAGCCTCTACACTAGTAAATGGAAACGTGATATAAACTGGATGGTCAAATCTTACAACAAAGAACATCGTTGTCTCCAAACTCGGAATGTTAAAGCTTGTACTTATAAGTTTCTCACCAAAAAGATTACAACTCAGGTGGAATCTAACCCAACTATTCCAATTCGTGCTTTACAAGAACAACCGCAACGTGATTACCAAGTGGGACTTTCCAAGATGAAAGTGTTTAGGGCTAGAACTGAAGCTCTCAATCAGGTGCGATGGGATTATGTTGGTCAGTATGCTCTATTGATAGACTATGTTCTAGAACTTCAAAACATAACCCAGACACGACTGTAAAGATTGATGTAGAGAGTGAACCAAATCCAAATTCAGAAACTAGAACTTTCAAGCGCATATACATGTGTCTTGGTCCTTTAAAAAAGGGATTTGCTGCTGGAAGAAGAGACTTTTTTGGTGTCGATGGTGCTTTTATGAAGGGTCCATACCCAGGACAAATACTTTTAGCTGTGGTAACCTTTTTTCATATGAACTACATTTATATTATAAAAAGTTGTATTTTAGGTTATTGATGGTGCTTTAATTGTGAAATTTTTACTTATGTAGGGAATTGATGGTAATAATGGAACATATCCACTAGCTTATGCTGTTGTGGAATCTAAGAGTACCAACTCATGGACTTGGTTTCTAACTTTTCTAGGGGATGATTTGGGTTTAGGAACCAACTCAAATTTTACGTTTATGACAGACAAATAAAAGGTATTAATTCGAATATCAAATTAATACATTATATATGGTATACTTTTAATACAATTTTCCATTATATACGGAGTGTTACCTGCTATAGCAAAGTTGTTTCCATGCGTTGAGCATCATTATTGTCTTCGTCATATCCATGAAAACATGAAAGCTAATTGGAGGGCAAAGCAATTCAAAGACTTGCTATGGGATTGTGCAAAAGCATCTACTATTCAACAGTTTCAACGATCAATAGAGGAACTTAGAAAACTTAATAATGATGCGTATGAGTGGCTTAAAAACATTCCTCCTCAACATTGGTCTCGTTCACACCTTACGGGTAGATTTTAATGTTAGATCATTAGTTTGTAGCTGTGCAATATGTGTGAAACTCTAAATAGCTCATACATATTTTAATGATTTATCAAGTAGAGCTCATACAGATGTTATGCTTAACAATATGTGTGAATCTCTAAATAGCAAGATTGTTGAAGGTCGTGATGTACCAATCATTACATGTTTGGAGTACATTAGAGAGTACTTAGTGAAGAAAATTGTAACTGTGAAAAAGGAAATTGATAAAGCTGTAGGTCCCTTGACTCCTACAGCTACCATATGGGTTGAAAAACTGAAGAAAGAGGCTTCACAATTAAGGTCTGTTTTCTGTGGGAATGGAAAATATCAAGTCAGTAAAAATCTTTTGGAATAGTTTGTGGTAGATATGGGCCAACAAACATGTTCATGTAGAAGGTGGGAACTAATAGGGATACCATGTGCACATGCAATAGCATGTATGTGGGAGATGTTGAAGAACAAAGAAATTGATAAGATACCCGAACATTGGGTCCACCGAGCATATTGGTTAGAAACATGGAAGAATATGTATTCTTTTACAATTCAGCCAATCAATGGAAGGAACATGTGGGAGAAGTCTACATGCCCTACAACCTTACTCCCTCCAAAACACCATGTGCCCATTGGAAGACCAAAGAAAAAGAGAAGGAGATCTGCCATGGAGGTTGAGGATTTGGTGAAAGGTAACCAATTGTCAAGAGCACAAAAATCAGTGACATGTTCTAAGTCTAACAAAAGTGGGCATAATGCAAGGACTTGCAAGGGACAGAAGGTTGGTGGTTCTCAAACATCAAGGAATGTTGGTGGATCACAAACTTCAAAGATTGTTGGTGGTGCTGGTAGTGAAAAACTGAAAGTTGGAAGTGCAAAAGTGAAGGCTGGTGGATCACAAACTTCAAAGAATGTTGGTGGTGTTGGTAGTGAAAAAGTGAAGGCTGGAAGTGCAAAAATGAAGGCTCGTGGATCACAAACTTCAAGGAATGTTAGTGGTGCTGGAAGTGCAAAAGTGAAGGATGGAAGTGCAAAAGTGAGGCCAAGTGTTATCAAAAAAGGGAAAGGTGTCCCATAAATGTGGCTTTTAGGTGCTTATGTATTGTTTTGGTTGATGTTGACAAACATTGTCTTCTTTTGAACTAATTTATGTGTTGTGATGGTTATGTTGATTGCTTTTGAAAAACAATGGTGTAATTATAGTATCCAGTTTTAGCAATGTACTTTGCCTTTGACAAACAATGTAATCTTTTGATTGCTTTTATTTTGGTCATCTGTTTTGCTTATTTTGGTCATCTGCTTTTGGCATTGCTTTTATTTTGGTCATATGTTTTGCTTTTATTTTGGTCATCTGCTTTTGTCAATGTAATCTTTTGATTGCTTTTAGCAATGTAGTTTAAACAATGTCCCAAGATGCATCACAAATTGTAAAATACAATCAAGTTCAACAAAATATCATTTTCATTGATAAAAGGGTACCCTTGATACCAATAAGATTCATTACAATGCATTGTAAACAACTGCAACTACATCAGTTGATCTTAAAACTAACACTACAACTTGTAAACAACTATCCCAAAAAACAAAAACCAACTGATTATTAACAATGCCTTCAGATTCCGATTTTGGACCTCAAGTTCTTGAATTTGGATTTCAAGCCCCTCATTTTTTATTTCCACCTCATGACCATGCTTTTCTTCATCTACCCACTTAATAAAGCCAGAACTTGGTCCATGTACTGTGAATAGCTTCAATTAGCACATACACATACTAGGGTTACAATAGAAAATCCCCCAAAACAATTCCAGCATCGTACCTCTAATGGGCAAGCATAAAATGCCCTACTTGGGTTTCTTTTTGTAGTTGAAGTACGTATAATGCCTATCGCACCACAATTGCATTTCACCATGTTTGATCAGCTGTGAGAAGAAAGGTGGGAGGAGAAGACTGCGATTGAGAAAGAAATGGGGGAGGAAGACAAATAAACCATGTTTAAAGAAGACTAGGTGACATGAAAAGACAAAAATACCCATGCGTGCCTTGCACGTGGGGTGTTTTAACGGAGCAACTAGACGGAATGTTACGTGAGGGACCAGGCGGGTTATGAATTTTACCATTAGGGATCATCCGAGTTAAAAATCTTGCTCAGGGACTAGGCGCGCAGGTTACCCCAAACCACAGGGACCATCCGTGTAATTTACCCTTTCTTGAAACTTGTTTGATATGAATTATCTTAACTTATGACTTTAACTAGATCATAGGTAAAGTGTTTGATTTTGTTCGTTGGAATTTTTGATCTAATTGTTTTTGGTGAAATCTATAACTTTTCATCAAGTTATGGAAAATGCAAGGTTTCATTTTTAAATATCATGTTAAATGGTTTTAATTCTTCCATAACGTGTCCTCAAATTATGGAACTTGAAGAATATTTTACATAAATGTTTTCATTAACTTCATAACCTGTCCTCAAGTTATGGAATGTCAAGAGTCTTTTCATAAAACCTATATTAAACTCATAAGTTATGGATACAAAAAGTATTGGAATAGTTCAAAACTTGCCTTCAGGTTTTGGAATTTGTAAATGCAAAGTCTCACTTTGAAACATTTAGTTCCAAACCCTAGAGTTTTAAAAGTTTAAAATTTAATCCTCATACTATTATAATATTATAGGTTTAAGATTTATATATGTATAAGAATAAAGTCAGTCTTACCATTAGTAGGCCTCATTCACAAAGCTGGTCTATAAGGGGGTATAAGTTTGCTGCCTATAAAATGGCAGTTTAATGGGTGTCCACTCTCTCCCACCACTTCCTTGACTGGTGCGGGTTCGTTAGTCGAATGGGTTTGATAGGACATTTAAATTCTCATTAAAAGTATAATGAAATACTAAGTAACTAAACACTTATAAATTCCCAATCTTAGTTACTTAGGAAAATGTGAATTTGGTGCTAAACCATGAAATTGCGCTTTGCACCTTGTTAAATCATTAATGGAGCATGTGTGGTTAACCAGTACACTAATATAGGACTGACAGGTCGTGGAAAAGGGTAGCTTGATGTTAATCATAGATCAATGGAGCGTGTGTGGTTAACCGGCACATTGATTGGGTGGTTGTAACATTGAGTGCACCAAGCTAATTTGCATGGTTGTTCACACCTTGTTTGTGATCCTTGGCATCCCAGTCACAAACTTGAAGGGCACAATCGAGATTTAAACATGCCATTGAAAAGTTCAATGAATATCAAATGATATAGGAATTTCAATCCATTTAAAATTTAGTTATTAATTTCGTTTTTCATGGTGGAAATTGTTAAATCATCATTTACCTACCTTCAAATATTTGGCATTCAGATTACGGCATCCCTCTTCTGAATTGTAAAATATTATGTTGGGTCTTAGCCTTAATATTTCATTTTGGTGTTATATTAAGGACTTAAGTCAACTAACTTGAATTTTTCCCATTTAGATGTCTAGTTCAGACAACTATGGTCTTCCCAAATCTTTTGGAATAAGCTTTCCTCTTGAAGATGATATCCTATGTGGCGATCAAGGTGAAAGATTAATCCCTTTGTCGTGCAGTAGTGGAAATGGAAATCATACTTCAACTCCTCCACATCCTCCAATTATTTACCCTAACCCACAAGTTCAAAGGCTTGAAAAGTTCTAGATCACTTAAGCCCAATTGGATAGCAAACATAAGGATGGAAATTCAATGTGTGCACATGTCTTCGATATGAAGTCACACATTGACTGGATGAGAATGTTGGGTGTCCAATTCCCAAGGAACTTGGCTATTGACGGGTTTTTTATTCACTTCCTGAGTTATATAGTGAGTTTGTTAAAGACTACTATGTGACAGATCACGACATGACCTGTAACAGCCCAGATTCTCAAGTATTAGTTATTTTGTATTTGTTGGTGATTTGTGAGGAGACTCGGCGAGTTGGAGCCTAAACTCGCCGAGTATGATCGCGGTTATGGGCACGGGTTCGCGTTCGCACTTGGCGAGTCCATGCTGTTTAATGAAACCCTAATTTCCAGGGTATGAGACTTATTTAAAGGGGCCTATGGCCGTCATTTGCGGCCACCAACCCCAGAGAGAACCCTAAAGAGTCTTTGAGCGTTTTGTGAGAGAGAGGAGGAAGATCCTTGATTATTTGTGGGTGTTTTGCTTATAGAAGAGGACCAAGGCAAGAGGAGACCAAAGAAGGTGCTAATCCAGTGATTTCTAAGCTTAGAGACTTCATTTGAGGTAATCATTCATTCCTTTCTCAGTCCTTGGTGTAAATCTTAGAGATAGGGTTTCTTTGTGGCCTTTTTGGAATGATCCATGGAGTAAATGGTCTCTTCTCATATTGATGCTTTAGATCTGGACCCAAAGAGGTCCAGAGACCCTTTTCTTCAAGCTTTATGAGTGTTAATGGAGGCCATGAGCTTAGAATAGCATTCTAGAGACCATATCTTCAAATAAGGCCTTTCAACCTTTTCATGGGCACCAAGATAGTAACTTTACGTGATGAATGAGCTTGGGAGGAATGGATCTATGAGTTATTGGAACGGATCTAACCTCAGGAGTGAGTTTGAATTGATTCATGGCATAGACTCGCCGAGTCTGAAGAACAGACTCGGCGAGTAGCATGAAGATTGTCCAAAACCACTCAGTGAGTGGTCTTGCCGAGTTAAAGGGTTGACTCAGTGAGTCAGGGAGAGTCAGAGAGGGTTGACGGGTGGACTGAGTCAAGCCGAAACTCGCCGAGTTGCTCTTAAGACTCGTTGAGTTGAGTCGTGGTCGCCCCGCGACTCATGCCAGGTGGAACCCTTCGAGTTAGGAAAACACTCGACGTGTCAAGAGAAGATCCGAGGGAGTCAGTGAACGCATATAGACTCACCGAGTCGCTTTGGTGCGCTCACCGAGTCCGGTCAAAGTTGACCGTTGACCAAAGTTGACCAGTGTTGATTTGATAGGGTTAGTCAACCTTAGTAGTGAAAGTGTTAATTAGAGATATATTGTATTATAGGAGGATTATAGCTCGGGGGATCGAGCACGAGTGATTTCAGGGATTTGCAAGTTATCGAGATACGCGAGGTGAGTCTTCTCACTATACTTTACCTTGAGTAGGTAACTAGAGTTATGTGATACAGTGCTTGTATGCTATATATGTGTTATGTGTTGCGCTGAATTATTCTTTGTGATTTATGTTGTGCATGTTTACAGAGTTAGAACCTGAGGGTTCACAGAGCTTGGGTGCACGGACCCACAGAGTTATAGCCTCGAGTGGCTAATATGTGTTATATGTGGTATTTCGGGGAACTCACTAAGCTTTGTGCTTACAGTGTTTGGTGTTATTTGTTTCAGGTACTAGTGACGACGGTGGGAAGGCACCGGCTTGATGAGTACACACACACGGGATTTTTATTTTATGAGATCTTGGGATTTTTGTATAACATGGATTGAATTTCAAACATGGGTGTCTTTACGAATATTAAATGAATTATGTTTTTTTATAAAATGAGAAAAATTGTTTTGAAATTTTACGGTGTTACAAGTTGGTATCAAAGCCTTGGTTTGAGGGATTCGGGTACACCTTCGGGAGTATTTGAACTCAAACTGAGGATTTGGAAAATATTTTCAAAAGAGAACCAAATTTTCTAAAAGAAGTAAAAGATTTTTAGAGAAACTCAGAGTACAAACGTGTGTACAATCAGTCATATGTTTATGAGATTGATATTATGTACTCTCTTGCTAGAGCAGGTTAGGTATTCCTATTAGGACTAGAGTGCCCTGATTTGTGATGCCTTAGCCTAGGGAGAGGTGAGCTGCTATGAGATGTGTGAGAGTGAATAGGTAGCAGCGAGGAGCTTATGAGAGATTTGTTAGAGAGTGATAGAGTACTTGGAACTTGGGATCCGAAGAGGAGGATTTGGGGTGTATACTGAAACGGTGCGGACAGTAGTATTGGGCCCGTACTACTGAAAGCACTGAGGCGGTGTACAGTTCAAGTAAGAACCTTCGGAATGCCAAGGATCAAGGAGGGAAGAGTTGTCGAGTGTGAGTATGCTCGAATGGATTCTAATTTA